CTGTGCTGGACATTGGGATAAAAAGACAAGCTGAAAATAGGATAACCTTGATGTTTTCAATGAGTTCACAAATGCCATAGTGGTGACAGGTAAGTAGAGATCCATAAGTATTACAAAACCAAATAGCTGGGGGTGGTGAGCAGAAAGTGAGTGGTGGTAGTGGGAATTATGGTTTTATAGGATGAACCTATCAAAGTGGGCATCTTTCAGGTAGAAAGAGAAGGAATTTCAGGTGGAAGACAGTTGTGCACAGGCACAGTCTTGGAGGAGGATGTTGCCCTACAGAGCTGCAGGTTCTTTTCTGCCTTATTGCAATGTATTTCCCTCCTTCCTGCCTATTGCTTCTATTTTAGATGCAAATCATCCTCATCAAATTTCTGTCTCTTTACTCTGTACCTTTGCATTTGTTCTTCTCTGTCTCTAATATTTTTCCTCCTCCCCAAAACTCTCTAAGGTTCACTTCAGTTCAAATGTCTTCCGTGGTTAAGATTTTCTGGGCTCCTTTATCAGAAAGAATTATTCTCTACTCTAGATTCCCAGTACTTGGTGTTCTATTGTAATTCTTATTACATTATATCCTAATCCTCCCTTTGTCTCCTGTACAACTCCAGTATCTATTTTACTGGTGTTTTCAGTGCCTGGAACTACCTGGCTCAGGTGTAAGAGTTGTGGTGAATAGGGAGGGTGGGTAAGGGAGTGGGAAACTAAAACTAACATTTTTAAATTGGAAATGACCTGGATATTATCGGAACAGTAGTAGCCATGTAAAGTTAGCAGTCAAAGGTAAGGAAAGAGAAGGGTGACATGATGGTACAGTGTTCTCAAGCAGATACAAAAAATATGGCTAGTAAAGAGAATTATTTTTAGAAAGAGAACTGACAGATTAACTTTAAAAGTTGTAGGAACTGATTCAGATAAGGAGAACCTGACAGAAGAATTTTTAAAGCATCAGCATCATCAGGTCCCTCAACTGCTCAAAACCTTTCAAAAATGGCCCCGATCCACCCAGAGCAAAGGCAACAGAATTACCACTGCTTAAATGGATCATGATGATAAGTTCTTCATCCCCTCTCTTAGTCCTTACTTCAACTTTATTTCTCCCTTCTAGTCACTTTTGTTCCAATACTGATCTCCTTGTTGTCCCTAAGGTCACCAGACAGTGACTGATGCCTTCACCTTCTTCCTGTCTCTGCTTAACAAGGTTTATCTTTATTTAAAAAAAAAAAAGATTTATTTTTATTTATTTATACAAGCACTGGGTACAGTCAGAAACACGGGAGGGTGAGAGAATTCATCAGAGCCAGAGAGGGGAGCAGAGCAGGTAGAAGGACCGAAGTACATTGCTGAGGGGAGCAGCGGGCGGCAGGAGAGATCTGCGGGCCATGTGGGACCCTCCTCCGGTGGCCGGGAAGCATCTGGGGATCGAACTGGCTCTGCAGAGGCTGCAGGCAGCTTTGCAACCCAGCGCTCAACCGCTGCACCACTGGGAAGGCCCAACAAGGTTTATCTTTTAAAAAAAAAAGATTTATTTATTTTTGCACTTTTGGGATGTGCAGAAGTGCAGGAGGTATGAGGATTCACCAGAGATGGAGTGGGGAGCAGAACAGGCAGATCTACTGAAAAACACTGCTGAGGGGAGCAGCGGGCAAAGCAGAAGAGGTCAGCTGCACCATGTGTTTTGCTCCCTGATTGAATTTGTGCTGTAGAGGCTGGCAGTAGCTTGATAGTGCTGTCTTTTAACCCCTGCGCCACCAGGGAGGCGCTTATCAAGGTTTATCTTGACCATCCCCATACTCCTGACTTTTCCTTACCTTGGTCTATTTTCTCCATAGAATTTATAATTACCTACATTTATATTTATATTATATTTATTCAAAAATTTGAGGACTGGTTTTATTGGTGTATCTCTCCACTAGAATAAAACCTCTTAAGATTGAGGATTTTGGACTGTTTTTTTTTCTGGTCAGTTACTTTAAGCATCTAGCACAGTGTCTGTCACCTAGTAGGTGCTCAGTGAATATTTATGAAAAGAGATTTCTGATATAAGAAATAGAATTGTGCAGTTGGAAGAACTGGTGTTAGAAAAGAAGGAAGGAATGAGCAAATACCAAAAGGTGAGCATAATGATTGGGTAGTGGGAAGTTGAATAAATACACATTTTATAGCTTTGTCTTTGTAAAAGAAGTAAAACTGTTTGAGTGAAGGAGGGAGAGGTTGGCAATTTGGTGATCAGAAGCAAAAGTCTTTGGGAAAAGTGGAGAGTGAATTGATCTAAAAATAGTTCAAGACTATTTACAATAGTTAAGGTGTGGAAGCAACCCAAATGCCCAAAAACAGATGACTGGATGGAGAGGATGTGGTACATATGCACAATGGAATGTTGCTCAGCAATCAAATAAGAGGCACATGCAGTTTGCAGCAACATGGATGGAGCTAGAAGGGATCATGCTCAGTGAAATAAGTCAGAAAGAAAAAGTAAAATACCGGATGGTCTTACTCATAGCAGGAATTTGGAGGACCTGGATAGGATACCAGGAAAAAGACTAATCAATACAAAGTAAAAATCAGAATCAACAAGCAACTGTAAACCAGAGACATACTGGGGGGGTGGGGAGGGAGGGAGGGGCAGGGAAAGGAAGTACTAGAGTCAAAATAAGGGGGGGTACAATTGTATGGGGATAATAACCAAAATGAAAATGCATACATTGTGCAAAGATGAAAAAAAGATGTAAGAATTATATAAAATAAAATAAAATATTTAAGTAAAAAATAAAAATAAAATAAAATAAAAATAGTGAAAGAGAGCCAGCCATTGTTTGTGACCCAGCTGAGCTCCATGGCCATAAATTTATGGTGGTATCATCTCATCTATTCTCTTCTGTGATTTTTCTCCAGAAGGGCTCAGCTGCCCAGATGCATTAAGATGTCCCCACTTGTTTCTTTGAAGGTCACCTTTGAGTGCAATATTAGTACCTTCCTCCAGTAGGCTGCCTGAACAGGTGTCTTTCTTATTCCTATAACACAGTAGACTTGTCATGACTTGTTTACTTGCTTTATCTGTCTCATGACTTTGAATGGGGACATCGGATTTTCTCATCTTCACATTTTCAGATGCAGCATGAGGCCAGATCTCTAATAAGGATTCAAGAGATCTGAATCTTAACTACTAACAATGCTGTAGAGTCTGCATTCATTATTGAAACTTTTAGTATTTTAGAATGCAGATCTCCCAATTCTTCATTCTACTGGTCTGTAGGTTCCTTAATGTCTAGTGCTCTGTCAATATTGAGGCTCCTTTTGTCCATGTTGAGTCCCCTGCTATGTCACTCTTTTGGTTTCCGAGTCCTGACATATCTGAGATGAGTGAGTGTGCATTTACATGTAAAAATTCCTTCACAACCTTGTCCTGTAATTGTTCATATTTAGGCTATGTGCTTCCATATATCACATCTCTTGGGCAAAAATTACCTCCTCAAGAGAGTTGTTAAAATTAATTAAAGGATAACTCTTTATAATGAAGAAAGAAGTCAAATTTGAGTTCTAGTTCATTGGATCTTTTCTCCAACACATATAAACAACTATGTTATTTGAGCTCTGAAGGTTTTAGGTCACAAAGTACATATAAATCAGAAATAATTACTGAACATATAGAAAATTCCACATCTTATCCTCCTTTCTAGTTCCCTGAATTTTGCCTTTCCCTCCCAGGTCATTTCTGCTGGTCTCCTTGAAAAGTAGATTTCTCTTTTAGGTTAATTTTACTTATAATCTCAATCCAATTTTTATCATTACTTTTATCATCCTTTATCTCCACCTCTAAAGAAAATGTTTTTAAATTTCAATCCTCTCCTCAGGTCATAAGGTACAACAGGGAAGCCCAGGCCTCTTCTGATGTTTACTCTCTTTACCTGCTCCCAAGGAAGTTCCTTAAATCAACGTGTTTTAAGCAGCGTCCATAACATGGAGGTTTCAGAGTCAGCAAGTAGATAAAATGAATCAAGTAACACTTCCTACAGTACAAAAACTTTGAACCAGTCTTTAAGAGGATATATATATTGATAATCACATAAATTAATTTGGGGTCAAATGTGAATTATTATAAATATATATTATGTAACTATCATAATTACATGTAACTATTACATATTATATGTTGATATATAAACCATACTATATAATAGATATATAGAGATTATATATTATAGGTAATATCATATCTATAATATTACCTATAATATTACAATTAACATATATTTATGTGTTCATAATAAATATAAATATGATATGTAATATTATATTTATGTATAAAAATGATTATTATTAGTAGTGCTATTAGGAACCATCTAAAAAATAAAAAGGTATTCAATAATTCTAAGAGGGAAGATACTTCTTCATTCAACTTTTTAAGCCATGGACATAAGAATAGGCAGAAAATTTTAACCACCTATGTCAGAGTCTTTAAAAAGACTTAAAACAAGCTGAGGAGTAGGCTAGGGCAGGCGACTCTGTTCAGGAGCATTTTTCCATTTGATATTCTGCTTTTATTTCCTCCAGAAGTTGAACTTCTCTGCTTCTCTGGCCTGCTTCCTGGACCATTGTCAGCACTTAGTCCAATCATCATGGCGTCCTGCTCATAGCTGCCCATGAAATCTGGGATAATAAAAGCATTTATTCCAGTGATTCTGGAAGACAGCTTTCTCACCCAGATCTGAAGGCCTGACCCTGATTCTGATCTCATGAATCTGCTTTGAGATGCTTAGCTTAGTGTCCACGGTGGATTTATTTTCAAGTCCTCTTCTGATGTCTGATTTTCCTTAGAGGATCCTGTGGCCACTCCGCAAGTATCAGATCATCCCCAGGTCCAGAATCAAATACCAAGATCAAGTTTAAAGATAAAGTAACTGCCGTTTATCATGTAGCCTCAGTTCCCCTGGCTGGTGATGTGGATCCCACTCTTGGATGTGGTGCTCTCATCATTACATTCTCTTTGTGTCCTAACTATGTATAAGGAAAACATCACCCTGGTCAGCGAGTTCATCCTGGTGGGCTTCCCTACTGCCCCTTGGCTGCAGGCTCTGCTCTTCTTCTTCTTCCTTATTACTTACCTGTTTGTGCTGTTGGAAAATTTGGTCATCATCCTGACTGTATGGGTCACTAGTTCTCTGCATAAGCCCATGTACTACTTTCTGGGCACTCTGTCTTTTTTGGAGGCCTGGTATATATCCGTCACTGTTCCCAAGATGCTTACTGGATTCCTCCTTCATCCTAACACCATCTCCTTCCTGGGATGCATGACCCAGCTCTATTTCTTCATCTCACTTGCCTGTACTGAATGTGTACTTTTGGCAGCTATGGCCTATGACCGTTACATGGCCATCTGTTGGCCTCTTCGCTATCCAGTCATGATGACCACAGGATTTTGTGTTCAACTAACCATCAGTTCCTGGGTGAGTGGCTTCACTATCTCCATGGCAAAGGTGTATTTCATCTCCAGAGTGGCCTTCTGTGGCAATAACATCTTGAACCATTTTTTCTGTGATGTGTCCCCCATCCTCAAGCTGGCCTGCAAAGACTTTTCTATGGCTGAGATGGTAGACTTTGCCCTAGCCATCGTCATCCTTGTGTTTCCTCTATCAGCCACTGTCCTCTCCTATGCCTTCATCGTCTCCACCATCCTGCACATCCCCTCAACCAGTGGGCAGCGGAAGGCCTTCTCCACATGTGCATCTCACCTCACGGTGGTGGTCATCTTCTACACAGCTGTGATCTTCATGTATGTCCGACCTCGGGCCATTGCTTCATTCAATTCTAACAAGCTGGTCTCAGCCATATATGCAGTCTTTACTCCCATGCTCAACCCTATCATTTACTGCCTGAGGAACAAGGAGGTCAAAGATGCCATCAGAAAAACCGTGACAAGTGGACTAGCCCTTTTCTCAAGAGAGTCTCCTTTCTGAAGAGACCCAGACATTCCTTTTCAGTTCACGATTTGACTAAACCTTAAAAACATCTTCATTAGTGGTAGAAGAGCTAAAAAGAAACTTCTCCAAAGAGGAAATACAAATGGCCAACAGGCATATGAAAAAATGTTCGACATCACTTGTAATCAGGGAAATGCAGATCAAAACGACAATGAGATACCATCTCACACCAGTGAGAAAGGCACATATTAAAAAAACTAGCAACAACAAATGTTGGCGAGGATGTGGAGAAAAAGGAACTCTCCTGCACTGCTGGTGGGAGTGCAAACTGGTCCAACCACTATGGAAAGCTGTGTGGAGATTCCTCATCCTACTAGACAGAGCTTCCATATGATCCAGCAATTCCACTCCTAGGTATTTACCCAAAGGACACAGAAACATTAATTCCAAAGAGCACCTGCACCCCTATGTTTATAGCAGCACTATTTATAATAACTAAGCTTTGGAAACAACCCAAATGCCCCAAAATAGATGACTGGATCAAGAAGATGTGGTACATATACACAATGGAGTATTACTCAGCATTCAAAAAAGATAAACACATGCAATTTGCAGCAACTTGGATGGAGCTGGAAGGGATCATGCTCAGCAAAATAAGCCAGAAAGAAAAAGAAAAATACCAGATGGTCTCACTCATAGCAGGAATCTAGAAAACATAAATAAGGGACCAGGAAAAAGAATAGCTATAAGAAAGAAAAAATCAAAATCAACAAACAACTATGAACTAGAGACATATTGGGGGGGGGAGGCGGGGAAAGGAGGGTTTGGGGTCAAAATAAGGGGGTTGCAATTGTATGGGGAATATAAAAATAAAATAAAATAAAAAATCTTCATTAACTGACAGTCTGCAACTATAAAAATATTTGCTGCACCTCCCCCTGCAGTGACCCTTAGGGCTAATGGCTTGCGCCACGGTCCCTAGGTCCGGCTTGGCAACCAGTGCGCAGGGGGAGAACAGCAAAACCCCCTGAAGACATACCTGCTGCACTTCCCCCTGCAGTGACCTCTAGGAATCCCTAGGTCCGGCTGGGCAAGGAACCAGCACGCAGGGGGAGAACAGCAAACTCCCTGAAGACATAGATAAGACGGAAGCCTGTTGAAAGATAACGACCACCAGGAGCCACTACAGGAATGCTGTCTGCACAGAAACTTATCTCGCCTTCTCAAGGCCCACAAACTTTATTCTAATACAACTGTCTCTCTAAAATCTTTTCTCTTTCTAAAATCTTTTCTCTTTCTCTGTCTAAAAAGGTCATTGGTTGCTGATTAAAAAAGAACATATGAAATCTAATAACTAGGCTAATTCAAATGAAACGTTACTAAACTCTGTGTATTAATAGAACTGTTAGCTTAATAATTTCTCTGTTGTATGCTTAGCTTTGTTAGCATTAATCTTAATGATAAAAATATTACATTGTGAAAAGTAAAATTCACCCGTGTTAATTAATAGTAATTTAGTGGTAGTGAGTAGTTAAAACAAAAAGTAATCATATAAAACAAAAAGTAAAATTAATAGCCTAACTACTTAGGAATGCGCCTGGGTCCAGATGTAAATCACTGCCTTGTCAATGATAAGCTAAACCTATAAGCAAGCTGATTTCTTCACTGATGTTCACCATTCCTATGCTTTTAGAAAACATATATATACTGGTCACCAACTCAAATTAAATTACACTCAGATTTTCACTCTCTTGAAGTGTGTCTGTTTGTCATTTTTTTCACCGACGCCCTGACCACCCTGCACGCTTCTCTGAACCCTGAGGCGGCCTCATCATCTACTGCTGTGCTGGTCCGCGGCAAATATTGACTGCAGTAATTCAGGAATCAGTGGCCAGAAGCAAAGAAAATTTCCTTTTCTGTGAGGGCTCAATTAAATGCTTCCTTTTATAAGGCAGTAAAGGAAATAATCAAAACTCTAAGAGACATATATTAGTGAAAGATAAAATAATTTTATTTTCATGAAAATGTTAAAAAATAGAGGGGGGCGGAGCAACATGGCGGCGAGGAGACGCTGCGAGTAAGATCTCCCATTAAAAAAAAGTGAATAGGGAGGAAAAGCGGCAGGTCCCAGTGAGAACTGGGACACGGAAGATAAACGGGTGACTTCAGCGAACTGCCCGAAGAAGAAACTGGCCATAAAAGAGGACTAGAAGGGAGGGAAGCACAGAACCCTGCTCCCCTCCCCCGCCCACAGAGGCGGCACTCTCCGACCGGCAGAGAGGAGGAAACAACAAACCAAAACGGCCCACAAGAACAAACGACGTAGCAAGCGGGACCGTGAGTGGAAAGGAACTATTGCAGCCACCACACCCCGTGAACGGGAGCTGAGGCGAACCCTGCAGGATCCGCCGCGGCGGTGAGCGAACGGCTCCGGGCGCCATTAGAGAAGAACAAAGACCCCGGGAGACGCGCACACAGCCCGGGCTGCCGGTAAGCTGGCGCGGAAACGCGGCGCGCTCGGGGAGCTTGAAAAGCAAGTGCAGACCTGGATCGCGGCTGCCCAGGTCCCCGCGCCTGCGACCTAGGCTTGCAGGGAGACGCGCGGAGGTCCTCACTGAGGTGAAGGTCCCTCCCTGAGTAAGCAGGAACCAGGCGCCCAGGCACGGGAGCGGGGTGCAAAAGGCGCCATTCCCGCACCACTGAACTGGGCTACAGCCCGCATCCTGGAACTGAGGGCTTTGAACTGAGACCTGGGGCACGAAAATTCGGGGCGTGGTTTCTCCACGACGGTGGGGCACAAGGCAGACACAGCACCCCAAAGCTGTTGAGGTGTACCCTACCATTCCCGCTCTGTTCTCTGTCCCACGGGGTGGGGGGAGGCGAAAAACAGCCCCCCAAGGACAATAGGAGAGATCTCTGGCGCCACCTAGCGACCAGGAAAAAAAAAGTCACTAACACCCTATAAAACAGGACATTTCTTAAGACGGCTTGAAAAGGGCAGAAGGTTTCTGGAGGACCCAGTGGCCAGCCGGGAAGTTATTCCACGCCAGGCCCCTTCCGACCAGCAGTCTGAGCCCACAGAGGGAGCAGGCACCCACGTCCGGGGCAGACCGGGTGCGCAGAAGAGTGTGCCTGAAACCGGAGGCGCAGGGACTGCATCCCGCTTCGCCATTTGAGAACAGGGACATTTCTTCAGTAAAAACTGCCTAAAACCAGCAGAAAGCTCCCCCAGAAGACAGAGATGGCTCCTGGAAGAGCCAGAGGGGAGCGGAGAAGTTCACCCAAGATGTCAGTCAGTCCGAGCAACACAGTGTCCCAACGCATACGACAAATTAGAAAACAGACAGTAGGGAGTAGAAGAACCACACGCAACCTAAAAACTCCTCAGGAAAGAAGCACACCACAAAAAGAAAACCACTCCCCAGATTGCAACGACAGCAACTTGGAAGAACTTCTGAGCCTTCCAGAAAGAGAATTTAAAATTGCCATGATTAAAAAAGTGATAGATCAGAAGAAGGAAATTGAGTCCCTAAAGAGGGAAGTAAGAGAAATGCAGGAGATCAAAGAATTAATGGAGGAACTAAAGAACTCTGGGAAAAGCAATGAAAGCAGAATAGATGAAATGGAAGAACGAATAAGTAATCTTGAAGACACAGAAATAAAAAGAACCAAAACAGAAAAGGAAAGAGAAGTACGAAGGAGAAAGAATGAAGAAAGACTTCGGGAACTATCTGACTCCATGAGGAAAGGAAATATAAGAGTTATAGGAATTCCAGAAGGAGAGGAGAGAGATGTAGGAACAGAGAAAATATTCATGGATATAATTGAAGAGAACTTCCCAAATGAGAAGAAGGAGCTGAAAATTGATATACAAGAAGCAAGAAGAACACCAAACTTCCACGACGAAAGGAAAAACACAGCAAGACACATAATAGTAAAGCTCCCAAGAATCCAGGACAAGGAAAAAATAATGAAGCTGACAAGAGGGAAGAAACAGATAACATTCAAAGGAGAACCAATCAGGCTGACATCAGACTTCTCTGAAGAAACATTACGGGCAAGGAGAGAGTGGAGGGACATAGTCAACAGACTCCAAGAAAACAGATGCCAACCAAGAATACTCTATCCCGCAAAGCTCTCTTTCCTCCATGAAGAAAGAATATGGACCTTCCCAGACAAAGAGAAACTCCGGAATTTCATTGCGACTAAACCCCCACTCCAAAAAATACTACAAGGAATCCTAAAGCCAGAACCTCAGAGGGACGAATAACAACGAAAGAAGACCAAAAAAAAAAAAAGTTATTAAAAGAATAAATAAATAAAATCAAAGGAAAGACAAACATAATGGCAAATACAGATGCTAACATATCAATATTAACTCTAAATGTAAATGGACTAAACTCTTCAATAAAAAGACACAGAGTTGCAGCCTGGATTAAGAAACAAAACCCAACCTTTTGCTGTCTCCAGGAAACACATTTAGCTACAAAAGATAAAAATAGGCTCAAAGTCAAAGGATGGAAAACAATCCTACAAGCAAATGGGCCAAAAAAGAAAGCAGGAACAGCTATACTTATATCAGATAAAACAGACTTCAAACTCAAAAAATTAAAAAGAGACCCCAATGGTCACTACATTATGATTAAGGGGACAATACTTCAAGAAGAAATAACACTCATTAACATATACTCACCAAACGAAAGAGCACCAAAATATATCAGACAACTGTTGTCCTCTCTGAAAACAGACATCAGAGAAAACACATATGTAGTGGGAGACTTCAACACACCACTATCAACAATGGATAGATCAACAAGACAAAAAATAAGTAAAGAAACTAAAGCTCTAAATAAGGACCTAGAGCATTTGGGCTTAACAGACATCTATAGAACACTAAACCCAAAAAAAACGGAGTACACATTTTTCTCAAGCGCACACGGATCATTCTCCAGGATCGATCACATACTGGGGCACAAGACAAACATCAACAGATACACCAAGATTGAAATCATACCAACCATCTTTTCTGACCACGAAGGCATCAAACTAGAAATAAATCATAAAAAGAAGGCAAGGAACTATCCTACCTCATGGAGATTAAAAGCCACATTACTGGAAGACCACCGGACTAACGAGGAGATCAAAGAAGAAATTAAAAAATTCTTTGAATTGAATGACAAGGAGGACACCAATATCCTAAATGTATGGGATGCAGCAAAAGCAGTAATAAGAGGAAAATATATAGCAATAGAAGCTCACATCAAAAAACAAGAAAGAACTCAAA